CGCCTGTGGTCCCACCCACTTGGGAGGCTGAGGTAGGAGGATGGCTTGAGCTCGGTAGGCAGAGGTCACAGTGAGCTGAGATTGCATCACTGTACTCCAGCCTGGGTGACAGGGCAAGACTTCTTCTCAAAAAAAAAAAAAAAAAAAAAAAGGAAGAAAAGAAAAATTTGAGGGCCGGGCGCGGTGGCTCACGCCTGTAATCCCAGCACTTTGGGAGGCCGAGGCGGGCGGATCACAAGGTCAGGAGATCGAGACCACGGTGAAACCCCGTCTCTACTAAAAATACAAAAAATTAGCCGGGCGCGGTTGTGGGCGCCTGTAGTCCCAGCTACTCGGGAGGCTGAGGCAGGAGAATGGCGTGAACCCGGGAGGCGGAGCTTGCAGTGAGCCGAGATCGCGCCACTGCACTCCAGCCTGGGCGACAGAGCGAGACTCCGTCTCAAAAAAAAAAAAAAAAAAAAAAAAAAAAAAAAAAAAAAAAAAAAAAAAAAAAAAGAAAAATTTGATGGTGGTTTATCTCTCTTTTCTTCACTTCCTCACTTGTGAAAGAAGACAGATTTGCCAATAGTCTCCTTTTGGCTTAACAAAGAACATTCACAAGAAGTTTTGTCTTCCACAAAAGTGATATGCTAATTGAAATAGTATTTACTGGGGCCACAGTTTATTAAGCAATTCAACCAACTCAACAGAGGGATAGATGTTTTAGAGGTGAGAAAGGCAATTTTCTCTGGATAGAGCTGCCTTCCCTCAGCTCCAGAGATATAGAGGAAACTGTGTTAGAAACTACACCAGAAAGGACCATTCTGTGTGTGTGTGTGTTTAGAGACAGAGTCGCCCTCTGTTACCCAGGTTGGAGTGCAGTGGCACGATCATGGTTCGCTGCAGCCTTGACTTTCCAAGCTTAAGTGATCCTCCTGCCTCAGCCTCCTGAGCAGCTCGCACCACAGGCACACACTGCTACACTCAGCTGATTTTTAAATTTTTTTTTAGAGGCTAGGTCCTCCTTGTGTTGCCAAAGCTGAAGGACCATTCTGTGATGCAAAAGAGAGTGTGTTTACTGGCGTGGTGGCTCATGCCTGTAATCCCAGCACTTTGGGAGGCTGAGGTGGGAGGATCACGAGGTCAAGAGATCGAGACCATCCTGACTAACACGATGAAACCCCGTCTCTACTAAAAATACAAAAAATTAGCCAGGCGTGGCGGCGGTAGTCCCAGTTACTCAGGAGGCTGAGGCAGGAGAATGGTGTGAACCCAGGAGGTAGAGCTTGCAGTGAGCCGAGATCGCGTCATCACACCCCAGCCTGGGTGACAGAACGAGATTGTCTCAAAAAAAAAAAAAAAAAAAAAAAAGGCTCATCAAAGAGTGTGTTTACTGAATTTTCAGGCAAAGCTGAAACATTCTCACCTTAGCTTCTTCAAATCTCCAGCTGCCAGGAATTTTCCTTTTTTAAACTGAGCAGTGGATTTTTTTTTTTTTTTTTTGTGAGACAGAGTCTCACTCTGTCAGTCAGGCTGGAGTGCAATGGTGTGATCCCGGTTCATTACAACCTCCGCCTCCTGGGTTCAAGCTATTCTCCCTGCCTCAGCTTCCCAGGTAGCTGGGATTACAGGTACCCACCACCACACCTGGTGAATTTTTGTATTTTTTGTATTTTTAGTAGAGACAGTGTTTTGCCATGTTGGTCCGCCTCAGCCTCCCAAAGTGCTGGGATTACAGGCATGAGTCTGTAATTTACAGCAGATTTAATTAATTATCACAATGAAGAAAAAGGCTGACTTAGGAGCTCAAAATTTACAATACGGAAAGAAAAAGGGCAAAATAGGAAGACTGACAACAGAAATGTGGGACACGGAATTTTTGCACACATGATCCCTGTGGACACAGACACAGAACATATCTATGCATGGACACACAGGCTTTCATATACATGACGTGGAAAAGAGGCACAAGCACCCACAAGCATACAAGAGCACAAAATATACACAGGCAAGCTGAAATACATTACCAACATCCACGAACGTTCACATCTGTACACCAACATATCTATATATATATATATAAGCACCCCCACATCTTGATGGAAACACAAACACACCCAGCCACAGAAACACACACATACCCTTAAAACCAGCTTTATACACATACACATAAACACACACCCTTGTTTATACAGACATGCAGGTAAACACTTACTCACACAGTGTCCTGCAGAGCTACACTCTCCTCTGAGCTCTCACCAGTCAGTTTCCTAGCTTGAGCTTCCTTACAGTATGGTGACTGGCTTCTGAGAAGGAAGAAGTGGGAACAACCAGAAGAAGTGGGACACATCCCTGCCCTCCTGCAGACAGTTTCAGAAACACACAGATAATTCAACACAGGAAGGCGCAGCCAGATGTGCACACAGACTTAACAGGCCTGCAAACTTGCACACACAAATGGCATTCTTGCAGAAGTGCGCACACGAAGGCACTTTTGCGCACTCATGGGCACATATTGATGTGCCCAGAAACTCAGCTCCATGCACATGCATGCACACTGGTTGTCTTCCGTCCGGTTCATCTTCCTCTGTCCCCAGGTCCTCATGCAACTGTGACACACGCCAAAGCTGAGACCACCATCTGCTTCACCTGCTCAGACCTCCACAGCTGTGGCCCACTTCCGTGCCCAGAGGATAATAACTACTGCCTTCAGATGGCGGGCATCACAGCAGAGTGCCCATGGGGGCAGAAATAGGGCCTAGGGCACAGCAAGACCTATCCTCACTCTCCCACTTTGCTGCCTAGCTCCAGCCATTGTAGCCTTTTCCTGGGCATGCAGGACAGAGGCTGGGGTGCAGTGGAGGGTGTGAGTTTAAAATCTACTGCCATTGTTGTTTAAGTTACTGCTGAATAACAAATTGGCCAGAACTTAGTGGCTTAACCGATCATAAAAAGACAAATACTGTATGATTTCACTGAATTATCTAGAGTAGTCAAAATCATTGAAACAGAAGATAGAATGGTGGTTGCCAGAGGTTGTGGGAGGGGGAAATGGAAGTTGTTCGATGGGTACAGTTTCAGTTGTGCAAAATGAGTTCTAGAGATCTGTTACACTCAACAATGTGAATGTAGTTAACATTACTGAATGGTGCACTTAAAAATTGTTAAGAAGGCCAGCCGGGTGTGGTGGCTGACACCTTTAATCCCAGCACTTTGGGAGGCCAAGGCGGGTGGATCATCTGAGGTCAGGAGTTCAAGGCCAGCCTGGCCAACATGCTGAAACCCCGTCTCTACTAAAAATATAAAAATTAGCTGGGTGTGGTAGTAGGCACCTGTAGTCCCAGCTACTTGCGAGGCTGAGGCAGGAGAATCGCTTGAACATGGGAGGCGGAGGAGACAGTGAGCCAATATCACGCCACTGCACTCCAGCCTGGGTGACAGAGTGAGACTCCGTCTCAAAAAAAAATAAAAAATTGTTAAGAAAGCCACACATGATGGTTTATGCCTGTAATCCCAGCACTTTGGGAGTCTGAGGCAGGAGAATCACTTGAGGCCAGAAGTTCAAGACCAATCTGGGCAACACAGTGCGACCCCATCTCTATTTTTTTTAAAGGTTAAGAGGGTATATATTATACTGTGTGATTTTCAAAAAAAAAAAATCACAATTGGCAAAAAAAGCTTCTCAGATTAGACAAGTATTTGTTATCTCTCACAATTCTGCAGCTGACTGGGCTCAGCTGGGCAGTTCTGCTCTAAGTGGTAAAGGCTGAGGTCACTTATGTGATTGCATTCAGCTGGGAGCTTGACTGCAACTGGAATGTTCAAGACAGCTGGGGAGAGCATCGCTCCTCTGAGCTCTCACCAGTCAGCTTCCTAGCTTGACCTTCCTTACAGTATGGTGACTGGCTTCTGAGAAGGAAGAAGTGGGAACAACCAGGCCTTCTTTTTTTTTTTTTTTTTTTTTTGAGATGGATTCTTGCTCTGTCGCCCAGGCTGGAGTGCAGTGGCGTGATCTCGGCTCACTGCAAGCTCCACCTCCCGGGTTCACTCCATTCTCCTGCCTCAGCCTCCCGAGTAGCTGGGACTACAGGTGCCCGCCACCACGCCCAGCTAATTTTTTGTATTTTTTTTAGTAGAGATGGGGTTTCATCTTTACTATTAGCCAGGATGGTCTCTATCTCCTGACCTCGTGCTCTGCCCGCCTCGGCCTCCCAAAGTGCTGGGATTACAGGCGTGAGCCACTGCGCGTGGCCACAACCAGGCCTTCTAAGTGATAGACCCAGAACTGTCATAGTGTCAGTTCTGCCACTGTCCATTTGTCAGAGCAAATCCCAAGGCCAGCTCAGATTTAAGGGGTGAGGTAACAGATTCCACCTCTTGATGACAGAGTGGCAAGGTTAGGTTGCACAAGAGCATGCAGGATGGGGGATACAGTTGTGGCCATCTTCGTATCTACTACAACACTCTGGGCAGGCAGCCCCCCTTAAGGCTCCTGTCACTCTGCCTCCACAGAAGGAAAAAGTTGACTCTTCTGTAAATGGGAAGAGGAGTTCAACTTGAAATCGGCTCTTTGCTATCTTTTTACAGCATAAAGAGGCATAATAAAGATGGTGTTCCAGTCTCCAGTTCTAGATATTTCTGGGATCTTAGAGAAGTTTCTTACTAAGCCCATGAGATGCTCATAGACAGGGTGGGGAGACTTCCCAGGTACAGAGCCGCCCTATTAATTGGAACCCTAAGGAGAGAAGGCAGGGGATCATGGAAGGCTTTCTGAACTATGTGATTTTTTATTGTTGTTGTTGTTGTTTTGAGACAAGGTCTCACTCTGTCACCCAGGATAGAGTGCAGTGGTGCAAACTTGGATCACTGCAGCCTTGACCTCCTGGGCTCAAGCGACCCTCCCACCTCAGCCTCCCAAGTAGATGGGACTGCACCACTATCTCTGGCTAATTTTATTTTATTTTTTTGTAGAGGCGGGGGTCCTACTATGTTGGCCAGGCCGTTCTTGAACTCCTGGTTTCAAGTGATCCTCCTGTCCCAAAGTGCCAGGATTATAGGCGTGAACCATTGCCCCCAGCCTGAACTTCATGTGTCTTAATGAACAATTACCAGCTTTGGATGTATTATGGGGAGATCTCAGGCAGAGTGAATGCCATCAGGGAAATACCCAGAGAGATTTGGGGAGTTCGGTTGGGTGGTGGGTTGTGATTGCCTTTCCTCACTAACCTGGCCTCCATCTCTCTCCAGACTTTGGAGAAGGTAACCCAGTTTCCTGGAGAAACGGTTTCTGTGTGACCTCCAAGGACTGCAAATTTGGCAACTCCATCTATGCCCTGACCTACGGCATTGGCTTTGGCTTCTGGGTCAACACCACCTGTTGCCAAGGCAACTGCCAGGAGCCCACCCCTCTTGGTATGCTGTCACCAGAAAGCAGTCAGATGGGTGGCCACGGAGGTGGTGGGTGACTCTGGAGGCAAAGTTGGGGAAGGAATGCAGGAAGGAACATCACTCAACCCCCATCCACAACCAGGCTGCCCTCAGGCACCCTGACCCCAGCTTGGGAGGAAATCCCATCAAGGTCATGACAATGTCAAGGTCGTGACAATATTAAGGTCGTGACAATGTGGTAGAGCCTAGGAGTGCACTGAGGGCTCCAGGAGGTCCTGAGATTCCTTCTGACTGACCCTCATCCTCTTCTACACAGCAGCTCATCTGGCCTCACACACCCTGAGTGAGATCTTGTGTCCTACATGTCCTGGGAGCTCCTTGGAGCCCTGCAATTCCTCCTTCTACATGCAGTGTCCCAGTGGGGAAACTGAGTGTGTCCAGCTGGACCTGACGTCTGAAGAAGGTAATGGGGACAGCACGTGTGTGTGTGTGTGTGTGTGTGTGTGTGTGTGTGAAGAAGGTAATGGGGACAACATGCCTGTCTGTGTGTGTGTATGTGTGTGTGAAGAAGGTAATGGGGACAGCATGTGTGTGTGTGTATGTGTGTGCACATGTGTGTATGCATGAGTGAGCCTGAGCACGTTGGATTTGGACACTGGTGTGCTTGAGTTTGGAGTCTCCCCTCCATCCTTTACTCTGTGTAGCTCAAGGCAAGGGACTTTATCTCTTTGAGCCTCAGTTTTCTCTTCTGGTAATTGGAGATGGTAGACACACACCTTGAAGGGCATTGTGAGGACAAAGTGAACTTATGAGGGAGGTGAAAGAGTAAAGGGCGTGACCTTGACCAGATGACTTTGCCTCTCTGTGCCTCAATTTCTCCATCTGTAAAAGGGGATAACTTGGTATGCAACAAGTTCCTTAAAAAACAGGGGAGGGCCGGACACGGTGGCTCATGCCGGTAATCCCAGCCCTTTGGGAGGCCAAGGTGGGCAGATCATGAGGTCAGGAGATTGAAACCATCCTGGCTAACATGGTGAAATCCCATCTTTACTAAAAATACAAAAAATTGGCCCAGCATGGTGGCAGGTGCCTGTAGCCCCAGCTACTCGGGAGGCTGAGGCAGGATAATGGCGTGAACTCAGGACGCGGAACTTGCAGTGAGCTGAGATCACACCACTGCACTCCAGCCTGGGCGACAGAGCGAGACTCCATCTCAAAAACAAAACAAAACAACGACAACAACAACAACAGCAACAAAAAAAACAGGGGAGGCCGGGCGTGGTGGCTCACACCTGTAATCCCAGCACTTTGGGAGGCTGAGGCGAGCAGATCATCTGAGGTCGTGAGTTCAAGACCAGCCTGACCAACATGGAGAAACCCCATCTCTACTAAAAATACAAAATTAGCCAGGCGTGGTGGTGCATGCCTGTAATCCCAGCTACTTGGGAGGCTGAGGCAGGAGAATCGCTTGAACCCGGGAGGCAGAGGTTTGGTGAGTCGAGATCGCACCACTGTACTCCAACCTGGGTGACAGGACTCTGTCTCAAACAAACAAACAAACAACAACAACAAAAAACAGGGGAATAACAACAGTCGCTAAGTCCTAAGACTGTTGAGAGAATTGAATAAGATAATCCACTAAACTATATCAGTGCTGTCTGAAAGAAATGTAATGTAAGACGCGTGTGTAATTTAAAATGTTCTGGGCCAGGTGTGGTGGCTCACACCTGTAATCCCAACACTCTAGGCGGCCAGGATCGCTTGAGCCTGGAAGTTTGAGACCAGCCTGGGCAACAGAGGCTGACCCTATCTCTACCAAAAATTGTCAAAATAATTAGCTGGGCCTGGTGGTACAACCTGTAGTCGCAGCTACTCAGGAGGCTGGGGTGGGAGGATCACCAGAGCCCAGGAGGTCGAGGCTGCAGTGAGCCATGACTGTGCCACTGCACTCCAGCCTGGGTGACAGAGTGAGACCCTGTCTCATTAAAAAAAAAAAAAATTTAAAAAGGAAACAAACATTGCACACAAGTGAAAACACACCTGTAACATACGTGTAAGGTAGGAGTGACAATGAGAGAGACAGCGGTGACCAGCCTCCAGCTCAAGGAAAAGAACATTCCTGATGAGCTTTCACGAAGGACATGGACTCGAGGGGCTCGCGGACACTGAGTGTGCAAGGCACTCTGCCTGAGCGCGCCCCCACGTCCCCTCCTTGCACCCTGTCTCTGTCTCCGCAGGCGGCCGGAACGTGAGCGTACGCGGCTGCGGCTCCCGAGACCTGTGCAGCGCCCCGGACTGGACCCACGGGCTCTCGGTGCTCCCGAGACATCGGCTGTCCAGCCACTGCAGCCCCGGCCGCCGCGCCGTCCTAGAGTCCCACTGCTGCTCAGGCGCCGCGCCCGGCCTCCGCCTCACCCTGCCGGTTCTGGCGGTAGTCCTGGCGACCGCGACGCTGTCCTAAGGAATCCCGCCTGGACCACCCTGCCGTCCAGGGGACCCCCCTCCTCCTGCTTGTTCGGCACGTTGCTAGATGGTGCCCTGGCTCCCCTCTGCTGGGGCAATGCGCGGACCTGGAAGCTTCTGGTGAGGAACTCAGGAAGTAGGGGTGATCTTCCTCCCTCAGACTAGCGCTTCCCAAAGCCAGACCTTTTGCTCCAGACTCAGGGCTTACTCAAGGCTAAGTCCTCTTTCCTCCCACCAGGGCCCCAAAGGCCATGCCTCCATCAGCCTAGGGTGTGTCTTCCCCCCTCAGACTAAGGCCACTCACCCCCTGCTGAGATCAGACCTCTGCTTAGCTGGGGGGGGGGGGCGCTGTACCTCCCCCCTCTGATTAGCACTTTCCCCAAGGCCAAACCTCCCCTCTCAGAAGAGGGCTGTTCTTCCTCAGGTTAGAGACGTCAGGGACATCCCCATAGCTGCACATTCTTTCCTTTAGATCAGGGGGCCTCAAAGACTCAGCCTCCTTCTTCAAACGAGGGGGTCCCCAACATCCGGCTGCTCCCGGACACCAGGGATGTGTCTCTTCTCCCACACACTGACAAGCCACTTCTCCTCTTTCGTTCTCCCTCTTTGGGGTCTAGCAAAATCCTGGGCAGCCAAGGTGGGGCTTGAGGATCCAATACACCCGCTTCCAAGGTTTTCAGGGCAGCCTCCTCCACCCCTACCGTGGGCCAAGACCCGGCAGGGGGCTTGGGTGGGGTGAAGAGCCCCTCTTCTGTGTGGGCTCAGTCTCCCAGCTGTAACCAGATCTGAATGAATCACATGTCACAATGCCAAGTGGTCTGAGTTTCCTTTTTCTGACGTTTTAACCTCAAAGAGGGACCTGGTGTGGTCCTCTCTCCTCTGGGGCTAGAGGAGGTTAAGCCTCTTCAACTGGGGAACCTGGAGGGGACATACCGACAACAGTGTCTGGGAGCCAGGGTGGGCATAAGACCAAATGCTGCATCTAGAACTGAACTCAGAGGACTGAGCGGAGAGGTGACACTGGGGAGCTCACCATAGGCACAATGCCAGGAACCGTTTGCTTTCTGCTGAAAGTGGCTGGGCGTGGTGGCTCACGCCTGTAATTCCAGTGACCGGGGGCTGACAGTGGGAGAGAGGGCTACCTAAGAAACCACTCCAGGCCATGCACCAGACAGATTAGGTGGCATGGCTCTAGGGTGCTTGAAAGAGACCGCCCCCGCTGGGCGCAGTGACTCACGCCTCTTATCCCAGCACTTTGGGAGGCTGAGGCGGGCAGATTACTTGAGGTCAGGAGTTTTAGACCAGCCTGGCTAACATGATGAAACCCCTGTCTCTATTAAAAATACAAAAAATTAGCGGGTCATGGTGGCGGGTGCCTGTGTTCCCAGTTACTCAGGAAGCTGAGGCAGGAGAATCACTTGAACCTGGGAGGCGGAGGTTGCAGTGAGCTGAGATTGCACCACTGCACTCCAGCCTGGGCAACAGAGCGAGACTCCGTCTCAAAAACAAAAACTGAAAGTAACAGAAAGCCCAGCCAAAAGAACAGAAACAATTTATTTAACATTCATCTAACAAATCTTTATCAGTCACAAGCTATGCATCCTTTTGTAAGTGAGACACTGGTGATACAGACAAAATTCTCTGCTCTCATGGAGGTTGTGTTTTAGTGGAGGAGACACATAATAAATAAATATCACCTATTATACATCACACATCAGTGAGTACTAGGAAGGAATCATAGTGCAGGGAAGGAGAATGGGCAATGCTGCCAAAGAGGTTTGATTTCATATATGGTGAGTAAGAGCCTCACTAAGGTTATGTTCAAGTAGAGACCTAAGTGAGGCAAGGGAGAAGACCATGCAGGTGTCTGAGGAGGGGGAGGGGGGCAAGCAGAGGGAACTGCAAAGGCAAAGGCTCCAAGGCAGATGCAGTAAGAAACAGTTAATGTGGACCAGACGCAGTGGTTCACGCCTGTAATCACAGTGTGATTTTAGGAGGCTGAGGTAGGAGGATTGCTTAAGGCCGGGAGTTCAAGACCAGTCTGGGCAATACAGCAAGAGCCCATCTCTACAAAACATTGAAAAGTTAGCCTAGCATGGTGGTGGCTACTTGAGAGGGTGAGGGAGGAGGATCACTTGAGGCCAGAAGTTCAAGGCTGTAGTGAGCTATGATTGTGTCACTGCACTCCAGCCTGGGCTACGGAGTGAGACCCTGTCTCAAAAAAAAAAAAAAAAAAAAAAAGAGAAGGAGAAAAAGGGAGAAAAAAGGAAGGAAGGGGTGGAGGGAGGAAGGGAAAAAGAAAGAAAGAAATGAAAGAAAGAAAGAAAAAGAAAGAAAGAAAGGAAGGAGGGAGGGAAAAAGAAAGGAAGCAAGGAAGGAAGGAGGGAGGGAGGGAAGAAGAAAGGAAGGAAGGGAGGAAGGGAAAGAAAGAAAAAAAGAAAAAGAAAGGAAGGAAGAAAGGAAAGAAAGGAAGGAAGGAAAGAAAGAGAAAGAAAGAAAAAGAAAGAAAGAAAAGAAAGAAAGGAGGGAGGGAAGAAGAAAGAAAGGAAGGAAGGAGGGAGGGAGGGAAGAAGAAAGGAAGGAAGGAAGGGAAGGAGGGAAAGAAAAAGGAAGGAAGAAAGGAAAGGAAGGAAGGAAGGAAACAAAGAGAAAGAAAGAAAAAGAAAGAAAGAAAGATGGAAGGAGAAGGAAGGGAGGGAGGCAGGAGAAAGAAAGAAGTTAATGTTATACAAATGGAGGTAGAGTAGAGGCTATCCAGAGGTCAGTAATTCAGCGATTCAAAGGAAACATTGAGAAACTATCTTTCTCCTCTGTCGTCCTCTGCATGTTTCCATGATGATGGCCATAGCTGCAGCATCATGGCCTCGTACAACCATATCCAAAGCCAGAAGGGGGGACCTCTCATCCTTGTCTTTTCAGAAGCCCCATCCCCTAGCAGACTTCCCCTCATACCTCGTTGGCCAATATTGAGCCAGCCAATCCCTGGCAAGATGATAGACTTATCCTGATTGACTTCACCTAATCAAGATTCAGTCCCTGGGGTTGAGAAATGTTCCAGTCTCTCCTATGGATCATGGCTGCCCCAGAGTCTGGATAAATACAGGGTTTGAGAAGGGGGAAATGAAAAAAATATGGGGTTTGAAAAGGGGGACATGGTGAAAATATGGGGTTTGAAAAAGGGGAAAAGAAAAAGAAGAAATGGATCAATAAGGATCGGTCAGAAAGACAAGTTACCCTAGGCATTTCAACAGAAGGAATTTAATGCAGGGAGTTGGGAAGGGTTGGGAGAGCAAAAGGGAGAAGCAGGGGAGCTGGAGAGTAGAGAGGAAGAAATTGAGGGTTCAGTTACTGTGGCTGTATGACATATTTCCCCCCAAAACTTGGTGGCATAAAACAATTCAGGACTGTGAATCAGGATTTGGGGGTGGGGTGTGATGGTTAATACTGAGTGTCAATTTGATTGGATTGAAGGATGCAAAGTATTGATCCTGGGTGTGTTTGTGAGGGTATTGCCAAAGGAGATTAACATTAGCTTCTAATTTAAGATTACCAATTTCAGTCGGGTGCAGTGGCTTATGCCTGTAATCCCAGCACTTTGGGAGGCTGAGGCGGGGTTATCACCTGAGGTTGGGAGTTCAAGACCAGCCTGACCAACATGGAGAAACCCCGTCTCTACTAAAAATACAAAATTAGCCGGGTGTGATGGCGCATGCCTGCAATCCCAGCTATTTGGGAGGCTGAGGCAGGAGAACTGCTTGAACCTGGGAGGTGAAGTTTGTGGTGAGCCGAGATTGCACCATTGCACTCTACCCTGGACAACAAGAGTGAAACTCCGTCTCAAAAACAAAAAAACAAGATTGCCGATTACCAATTTCACTTTGAGTTCGTCAACAGGGAGATCATCTTGGTGGGCTTAATCTACTCACACAAGCCCTTTAAAAGTAGAATGTTTTCTCTTGCTGGTAGCAGAAGGGGAAGTTAGATTTGAAGCATGAAAAGGGTTTGATGCGGCATTGCGGGCTTGAACATTGAAGGAATCAGGTGGAAAAGACCCAAGAGTAGCCTCTAGGGGCCAAGAGTGACCTGAGACAAGAGCCAGCAAGAAAGTGGGGGCCTCAGTTCTATAACTGCAAGTAACTGATTCTGCTGAACACCTGAATGAGCTGTTTTTTGGTTTATTTATTTATTATTTATTTATTTTGAGACAGAGTCTCGCTCTGTTGCCCAGGCTGGAGTGCAGTGGCACGATCTTGGCTCACTACAACGTCCACCTCCCAGGTTCAAGGGATTGTCCTGCCTCAGCCCCTGACCCCCAGCCCGGTGGCATGTGCCACCATGCCCGGCTAATTTTTGTATTTTTAGGAGATGGGGTTTCACCAGGTTGGCCAGGCTGGTCTCGAACTCCAGACCTCAGGTGATCCACCTACCTCACCCTCCCAAAGTGTTAGGATTACAGGCGTGAGCCACCGTGGCCCGCCATTTTATTTTATTTTATTTTATTTTATTGAGAGACGGAGTCTTGTTCTGTGGCCCAGGCTGGAGTACAGTGGCGCGATCTCAGTTCACTGCAACCTCCGATTCCCAGGTTCAAGGGATTTTCCTGCCTCAGCTTCCCAAGTAGCTGGGACTAGAGGCATGTTCCACCACAACCAGCTAATTTTTGTCTTTTTTAGTAGAGACAGGGTTTCACTTTATGTTGGCCAGGCTGGTCTCGAACTCCTGACCTCAGGTGATCTGCCCGTCTCAGCCTCCCAAAGTGCTAGGATTACAGGTGTGAGCCACCACACCCGGCCTACCTTAATCATTTCTAAGTATGCAATTCAGTAATGTTAAGTATATTCACATTATCATGGAATCAATCTCCAGAACTTTTTCATTTTGCAAAACTGAAATTCTATACTCATTAAACAACTCCTCCTTTCCCTCTTCCCAGTCCCTGGCCACCACCATTCTATTTCCTATTTCTATGAATTTGACTACTTTAGATACTGCTCATAAGTGAAATCACACAATATTTGTCTTTTTGGGACTGGCTTATTTCACATAGCGTAATGTCCTCAAGGTTCATCCATGTTACAGCGTGTGTCAGAATTTCCTTCCTTTTTAAGGTTGAATAATATTCCATTGTATGGATAGATCCAAATGTTGATCTATTCATTGGTTGATGGACACTTGGGTTACTTTTGCCTCTTGGCTATTATGATGCTCATGCTGAATGATGCTGCAATGATCATAAGCATGGTTATACAACTCTCTCTTCAAGACCATGCTTTCAATTATTTTGGATATATACCCTGTAGAACTGGTGGATGATGTGGTTATTCTTTTTTTTTTTTTTTTTTTTTGAGATAGATTCTTGCTCTGTTGCCCACCAGGCTGGAATGCAGTGGCGCAATCTCAACTCACTGCAACCTCTGCCTCCCGGATTCAAGCAATTCTTCTGCCTCAGCCTCCTGAGTAGCTGGGAGCCACACCACCTGGCTAATTTTTGTATTTTCAGTAGAGACGGGGTTTTACCATGTTGACCAGGCTGGTCTTGAACTCCTGACCTCGTGATCCACCCTCCTTGGCCTCCCAAAGTGCTGGGATTACAGGCATGAGCCACCATGCCTGGCCTGATGTGGTAATTCTATGTTTAATTTTTTTGGGGATCACCATAGTATTTTCCATAGTAGTTACATAATTTTGCATTGCCACCACCACTTGTTATTTTCTGGTTTCTGTGTGTGTGTGTGTGTGTATATATGTGTGTGTTTTAATTTTTTACATTTTTTTAGAGACAAGGTCTCACTCTGTCACCCAGGCTAGAGTAC